CGACCATCCTAACTCTTTGTTTCATTTTCGGCAAACATGGTCAGGCAAGCTTTTGGCGCGCTGACTCAGATCAACCCTTAACCACAAGTATGTGCACTCCCTAATGTACATACGGGAACCATGTGGCGATTGCTTATAAAATATCTAACAATCGCAATGTGCTATCTTTCATTTTATTTTCTTTGTGTGGTTTAGCCGGAATGTCTCCGACAAAATTGGTCAAAACAACTTTAGAGTTCTCTTTGTTTGACAACCTTCGCAAGGGATTAGTTTTCGCACCTTTCGATTTTTATTGGAAAGGATAAGGGGCGAAAATTGGTTAATCTTTCATAATAATACTTGTTTGAAACAACTTCACTTATTAACTTTTATATCCCTATTTGAAAACTGTAATATATGCATTGTAACCTGTAGAGGTGCAGTGTTCTATTATGTACTAGGATTTTCTACATTTGACCTTAAATTTAATGATTTAAAATCGATATTTAAAGCAGATTTTTCTTAAAACTGTTTTTCCTTGTAGCAGAATAAAGAGCCCTTAATTGTTCTTAATTGAACTTCAGTATTGGAAATGAAACAAACAAAAAAAGTTTGTTAGGTGCAAGAATTAAAAGGTCTAAAATGCTTTAATTAGTCACAAGGGTAACAAAGGCACACATTGCCATATGTCATTTGCGGTTGCAGAATAGCTCCAGAGACGGTTGGGTCCATCCCTTATATCGGCGTTCTTGTCAAAATCCCCGCTCTTTGTGGTTCTGTTTTTCTTTTTTGCGGTTTCACCCGTTCATATAACAAGATTGGCCGACTCCCCACATCAGACGCTCGCGCGATCGGTTTTTCATCCCTAATGTATAAGCGGTTACTGATTTTGATATAAAAAGTCCCGATACATTACTTAGCTATAAATTAAAGAAATATTTGATCCAAGATAAAGATTTCGGGTATCTTCGTAAACAAAATTAACATTTTCTATTTGCTAGACACATGACCACCTGCAATGTTTGCTTCCTGTTTTCCTTAATACTCATTCATAGAAATTTGTTGTGGAATTTGTGCAATTTCACACACTTTTCATGTGGTTCATAGCTGGTAAAATTATGCAGATGTGTAGTAAAACTCCCTTTTGATGGTTTTATGAATGAGTCGCGCAACCCTGAATTCATTTTAACGAATAATCACATCTGCCCTCCCACGGACCATAACTGCTTTGTCATAACACTTTTATTGCGCAGTTGCAGATGAAAACAAAATATTATATGCATCTTTTTGAAATATGCATATCGGAGCAATCATCAAGTACGAATGACTTATAATTGTGATCGATCAATTAATCAGAGAGGCATGCATGAATGGTCACCCACGGAATACTGTAATTTGGCGCGTGTTCTTTGAATTATACGATAGAAATTTAAGCGTATTGACGTGCAGTGCATAGTAGTATAACTTTTGAAACAAACAAGGGGACCGGTAGGTTTCATAATAAACAGCATGACTTTGTCCATTGACAGTTTTGTGCGTTTCTTCCTATGCGCGCAGAAATTATCTTAAACTGATATTTTTTTTTTGATCATTTGAGATAACATATTGTACTTATTTTCTTCAGGGAATCAAAATTGATTGTCACATTGTAATAAAATAAAAATAATAATTATATCAAGATATGGATGAAATAGTATAATATTCTTTCCATCTATTTTATTTCACAGTCTTTTTTAATTAATAATTACAATAATTGTAATAATAATAATAACAACAACCAAATTACAATAAACAATCCAACCTTGACCAACACGCCTACTTACGCATACGTCATTTTAATATGTAGGTTAATACTACAATAACTATCAGCAACAATAGTTCAAAACATAAAACTGTAGTACTCCGCTTTAAAAATAGCACAGTAGCAGACTTTGTTGTTGCTATTTGTTTCACCTCGATGACAACACATAATTAGCAAAAGAAATGTTACAGATATCAGTTTCTGCTACCTTAATGTATATAAATATAGAAGGTGGAAAGGGCGTCCACCTTCGTTCGGTCACAAGTCAACGACTTGGTTACCAGGCGCGTGCACTCTCGTTCCAACCATTGACCGGAAACCGTATGCATCATCATTCAGCAGGCTGAAGTTTAATCGGAGAGGTTGATAAGATCTGATGTATCGATGCCGTCTTAATTATACTTGGTGACTGAATGAGAATAAGAAAATGAAAATTAGATTTTTAAAAATATTTCTATTCTATAACATTATTTATATCCTGGGTGAAATATGAAGTATTATGGGAGTGATTTTTCTTGAACTTTTGGTTTGGAAGTCATCTCTTCTGCAAAACTGACATTTTCATGATAAGGAATATTTCAACTTTCTCTTTCTAGTGATTCTTTAAGTTAAATTAAAATTGCCTATAACTCATGCAATGAAAATTTCATTGAAATATTACACCTCGTGAAATAGTAGAATACATCGGGCATATAATCAACTTAACAAATGGTCGATCAAATTTTGTGACTTCCTAGCCCCTCGTGTGGAGTTTTATTAAGATTACGACTTGATGCATTTTTTATTGTTGAAAACAATATATTCGGCAGTTTGAATAACGCAAGTCTTTGTCATGATATGTGAAACTGATACATAGTACAACATAAATATCTAAATTTCAGAATGGTCATTTTGAGCCAGATGTACACCTCACACAGAGAGAAGATATCCAAGGTCTAAGACTTAAAAACTTTTGGAGACTTATCGACGGGATTCAGATTAATACTTCCGCTGCGGATGACAAGCCCGGAAATAGATGGTGAGTAGATCGTATTTTATAAATTAGTTATCAAAATGACAATGTGACGCAACAATGCTCATTGTTTCTTTGTCGTCAGATTGAGTTTTAAAATCAATTCAGCAAGAAAATTAGAGACACCCACGAATCGTATACAGGAGTGAGAATATTGACAATATAATTGCTGCAAGCTGTGTTAAAAAATAGATGGAATCGATAAAAATGTCCCTTTTTACTACTAATTTTTTTAAATATAACTTTGAAAGTTGTACAAGACAGAGCTCATCAAACAATGAATTTTATTCTTTCTCTCATACTTTCAAAAAATCTTACATGTATTATTATCACGCGGGTCATTCTTATTGAATTTACCCTTATTTTTCTTTAATAACGATTTAGAAGGAAAACTTAACACATTTTTTCTTTTATTTCTCTCAACGTCTTTATTCTCCCTGTTGTCTTTAAGTTATTTAGAATAAATTAAAGATGTTCATAAGAACTTTTTTGTTTTAATAAGAAAGGACATAAACAAATGCATTCCATGAAGAACCTAATGGGTTTAACAGCCTACAAAATTTAAAGTTTGTGGAGTTGTACCGGTACATGTAATTCCATAATTCATTCGATAGAAAAGATACACTTACAACTGCCCCCCCCCCCCCTCCCGCCGTTTTAGCTTTGTTTTGGGACTTTTTTGCCTTAGAATTATAATAAAAATTAAATCAGAATGAAGCTAAAAAAAAAAAAAAAAAAGAAGATTTTTTTTAAATAAAGACAAATGGTAAACAGTTAAACTTAGATCCGTTTTGATTTTATTCAAATTGAACAACATTGGAAATTTATTTAAAATTCCATGGTAATAAATTCCTTTCTAAAATTTCAGATTTATTACATGAATTTTGGACATTTCTTAAGTTGGCTAGTATTTTATCTGAAAAAGCATGTTGTTTAACAGGTTATAAAATGTATGATTGTCTTCACTTTTTCAAAAGTGTCATACACAATGGTCAAAGAATTGTTTCGTGACCTTCATAGAGGTGGTATCATGTTAAACGTGCAAACAATACTTGAAATACAACGTTAAAACACATGAATAATGAATTAATAGTTTATTGTCGCTAGTTTTTATAGTTTGTCTGGTCCTCTCTGACTCCAAATTCGATTTGGATGAGAAAATTTGCAAATATTTCAATAACCAAGGCATTGAAAGAGCGAAAAAAAAAGAATTATTTTTTCCATCTTATCTGGAGATTTTCCCTAAATGTTGGGTAAAAATTAATATAATAAAGTACATGTATGGTAAGAAAAACTATTTGTTTCGATATGCATGTGTATCGACAAAAGCTTACAAAATACTTAAGGATATCCGATCCTCGGCCAGGAAGGATAACTCTTAAATTTATTATTTTTTTAAAAAAGTCTCAAATAAAAGCTTCCAATTATTCTTAAAACGTAGACCCGTTCATATATACTCTTACCATGTAAATTTTAATTTACTGGGGGGGGGGGGGTATTTACAATTGCATTTACCTCCCTCTAGTAAATTCAAAATTTACAACATGACACGCTACAACATGATATATTGGTGAATGCAAAATTTACAGTATTGCATTTACCTCCCCCTAGTTCATTCAAAATTTACAACATGATACACTGCCCCTTTTTGATACCCCTACTTTATATTGAAAAAGTGAATCATCAAGTGTGCCAAAACGAAACAATACTTGAAGTACAATAACAAACACTTGCTTAATGATTAATCCAATTCAAAGGATATACATGTACGTTCATTGCACCCTGATATTCAGATGTCATGTGCTCGTCCTTCCGGTATTAAATTCGTTATTAGGGAGAACAATAATGAAAAAAATTATGAATGAATTTTAATGTGTACGTTTTTCACTCAATTGACCACTGTGGGACTGAACACTGTAACAAACTGGAACGGATGTATAAGGAACATCCTTACTTAGGCGAACACATGGTCCTGGAAAGACTAGCTCTTATCAAGTAAAATACGTCATGGGTGACGCAAGCATCTACTTTAAACGGAAGAGGCATGAGTTGCATCCGTTTTTCAAATTCTGTTTCATTTGCGTGTTCATTAGGGAGAAGAAAGTAAAAATTAACGTCTGCTTGCATGTTGCTTGATTTTATTATTTTGGGGACGTACATATACGTGTGTATTTATAAAGTTGGATTTGAACATTTAAACAAATAATATTGTTCTGCGAGAGAAGAGGACGAATTTGTTTTTCAAGGTAAAGATTTAGTTAAAGGAAATAAACATACTTTAAAATCTCAGGAAATTTTCTTTTTTAATACACAAACGTATAACTGTAATTATCATACTTCTCAAACAAGGAAGATTACATTTCAAAACAAGGAAAATATGCAGAGGAAATTGCAATTACTGTAATAGGTGACAGTAGCTAACATGAAAAAAAAACTAGAAATTTTAAATCAGATTTTACGTAGCTTAGAAACACAATTTAAGTAAGGATAGAGATTCAGACGCATTACATTGAGTATAGGTCTAAATACGCAAATCAAAATGACATACTTAAATTTTATGACGAAATGCCCTAAGCTGTTACCACTTCGTTAATTGTAGACCGATCACGTGTAAAAGGGGGACCTTTCCTTGTGTTCCCAAGAACGTAAAATGATTAAACAAATAACACATTACATAAAGAGGTCTTTGTCAGTTTGTAACGAGTTCCAAAGACATCCTCCTCACGTTCCAATGTTATTGGTCGTACTATCGTCTATTACCAATAACTTCGTATGTATATATGCGATTGGAGAAGAATTTAAGCGCGGGATAACAATTTTGTGTTTTATTACATTAGTGGGTGTGCGTACTTATATATACTAATCGAGACACTCTATGTTAAATAGAATCATTCTTTCAATCAGTCAGTTGAAAATAAGAGCTGATTTTTTATCAATTAAAATTAATCTGCAAAAACAATTTCTTCCAAATGAGTTGTTTTGCTCTTTAAAGTGCACAGGAACTAAAGACTTCATTGGAAGAATTTTTTTGAATGAAAGGTGACTGAGTGCGACGCATGCCTAGTCATCACTGGAGCATATCCGGGATCGATGAAACCAGCAGACGACGAAAAGGCCACGTGAGGAGCGAGAGCAGACGGGACTCCAGTTAGAAAGGTAAGGGTCGATTATATTAATAAGGCGTCTTATACCTATGGAATTCCTTTAATATAATACTATTATCAAAATAAGAAATAATATCAAAATTTTTTAATTAAACTTACGAATATTCTTTTTCTCTACTATAGAGAATATAAAATACTTCATATTCATTTTTATAACTCCAGTTACCATTTTGAAAAAAAAAAATATCCATGTGAAATTAATCATTTTTTTTAAATTTTAACCACGATTATACATTAAATATTCTTTTATTTATGGTTACCTGTGTACTCATTTACGATGATTCATTGAACCATGTAATAAAAATGAAGTAGATTTTAAAGTCATGTTAATATAATTAAACGTGTTTGAATAGAGATAAAAGTGTTTCCTTTCATTTTAATCCAGAAAATAATGTTAATCAGAGTAGTATGATGTTTAAGTTCAGGAATTCTGTATCTTTTATTGAAAATTATATCTCCTATTTATAAGGATGATGTAAAAGAAGGGAAGTCTTGCCAAAAATAACCTTTCGTTAGAAAAACTACGCAGTTTTTATTAAACGATTAGGTAAGCTAGTAGGTAATCTTTTTATAGCTTCTTTGTTTTGAATATATATATGCACAACATTTGAAGTCAATCGGGACACATGGCGATCGATCCGTATAGCTTGATGTAGGTAGTTTATGGACCAACAAACCGAGCAGAGGATTAATTATAGCTTTATGATCAAGCACGTCTTGTGTATGAAAGCTGGATGTTTCAGTGCAGACAAATCATCTGATTGGCGGTGGTCACTTCTAAAGTCAACGACATGCAAACGGGTCATTGAAACCATCTAAAACATGAGCTAAAATTAATGGTTGGGAAAAGAATTTAAAAAACTAGGTTTTTTAGTTCTTTTGTCTGATCAATGGATAATGAATTATACACGCATATTGAATAAACGGTAAAGAAGCGCGTGTCAAAAAAGAAGATATTTGTGATTATTTTCTGTGAGAGACCAATGCCATCATCCTTCACGGACATTTAGAGTAAAAAAAGTCACTGACCGCAAAAATTGGAAACTCCTTAGACAGAAACGAGAACAAAGCTACGCATTCATATCAGTGAACCGAATCGGGAATTCCCCTCGTAACCTCCTCTCACCATGGGAGACTGGATATGACTATGAGGGTCATCGCCCCATTTTACTGCCAGACAAGTAGGTCGATGGGGTTCTTGGAACGAACTGGTAACTATTTTATAACAAAAAAGGATGGGATCGATTTTGAAGCAATTGCTCTAGGTGTAGGTAGGTGTGGGGCCGGATAATGGAACATTTTTTTATGAGTATAACAGCTGTGATAAACAGACTTTATTATTAATAACATTACATTCAATTTATAATTCAGATACAGCATCTTATACAAAAACTTCTACTATTAATTAATTTTCATATTAGATTTTGTTGTCACAAGTACGAAGAAGCCCGCGCAAATTCTTGTCATTCCTTGTGACAGATGTTTTGGCCTGTCTATCGGCTTGTCACATTTGACCAATACACTCCTACTTGTTTGTTCGGAATACTCATTCTTTGTACAGGTAATCCTAAACCACAGAGTGGGTTGAAAGTTTGTCAGGTGCCCTGATTTTAGCTACCCTATCAAACTATTGAACGATAGTATGATATTTTGATCTAAACTGAATTTGTGTTAATCAGACATGTAAATATTTTATTAATGATCTGAAAAGGCATACCAGTTAACTAGGTACGCAAATTCTATTTAATAAACTATTTCAATGATGAAATCAGACATATAAACAACTGGTTGATTCCTAAGAAATAATTTTCTGTAATAATTAATATAATTATGCATCAAGGTGTAGGGGTTGCTCTACCATCGAGACAAACACGTGCATCTCCAGACATCGCTTAATTGGTGTGAAGCAAAATGTCAGATAGCTTGTGATTTTTATATCTTTTGATTCAGGGGTGGGCTGATATCAAGAATGGTCTTTGTCAAAAAGAGGTAGTCTGACATTCAACGCGATAACTGACTGCCTGTTCGGTGCTCCTGCTTGTCGGGGCATATGACCCTAGTCGGGGTCACCGTGTATTTATGTGCTCATCTCGTGAGGGCATTGTGTAAAAGGATAATTAAAGTGACAACAGAAAATTAAACATTTTCGGGCACAATCAAGGGAGATTTTTGCTGAATGGGGCTAGATTCGCTGCTTTTAGACATTGAAGGGGGCCTGTTGGTAGCTTTGTAATGGGCGCCATCAGTGAATTATGTTATTGCACGTGTCGTGCTAACAGGTTTGAAAAGGGCACGACGGATATAGCCGTCACCTTGTGTTATTGCTGAAAACATTCAAAATGCAATACACTAATCAGTATTTCAACAAGCTGAACAGATTAAACCCTTTGTTTTGATAAGAGAATATGTTATGTTTATTCATGTATTCACTTTCAAACCTTAGGCCAAGGGTTTCTCTGTTAAGGTACATAACAAGATTCTAAATTGGTATATATTTTCTATATATAGAATGTAAACTAATATTACGTAGCTATAACTTCATAGTAGCAAAAGGTCTTCACGATAGATAATGACCCATATGATGTGATTGAAAGAAGAAGGATTGGTCAAGCTTTGAAACCCCCCTTCTGTCTCCATATTTGCACTCCGGAAGTCATTAGGAAACGATTTTAAGTAGACAGATTGTACCAGAAAAAGGAAGTTGCTGCCATGTGGCTTTTGATTGGTCCATATATACTTCGTGTAAATTACTACAGTACACACTATTAATTTATTAAAAGTTCTCATGCAAGCTGTACCAAGTGTAATTACTCGGGCACAACATTTTTCTGTATACACTCTATGTATATCAAATATGATCAAAGCTAGCTCGTTAAGATTCCTATGTTGTGAATGCAGTATTTGTAGGTAGTTGTGGTTTCCATGACCCCCGTGAACCGTTCCTGTAGGGTTCATGTCTTATAGCACGGCGTTATGTTATAGTTAATTCATTTCACACTGTACGACATGGAAAAAGGGGAAAAAATCTACAGACTTATAAAGATATCTCGATCGATTATCAATACTCAGTAATTTGTTGGGGGAAAACCTACAATTACACTATCTTAATTGAGAAATGAAAGTATCCCTTTTTAAACTGGTCATCTCCCAGTGTTCGTGAACATTCACCCCTCTTTCACGATAAATATCTTAAAACGTACGATGTGTGGGCGTAGAGCTCGTCATGACGATAAGAAATATGAATGAGTTAAGCTCCATTCATGTCTTTACTATATTTACGTTTTACAGCGGTGTGCGAAAGTTAACACCCTATGTAGCCAAGTCAGGAATAGTTCAACCTTGTATGACTCTGCAGATACAGTCACAGCTCTATCGACTTAATGATTTATTGTTAGAGGTTATTGTCAGGTTTAGTCATACAATGACAAAGTTCGAGCAAAATGCGTATTGTTTATGTTGAGTCAATTTCTGAACTAGATTAATAAATTAACTAGCCAAAGTAATAAGAATGTGTATTTCAGTTTTCATTTCTGCTTAAAGTTTTTTGTTTTGTTTTTGTTGTATTTACTTCAAGGGTTACGGATGTAAAAATATTTAATTACTGATGTTTAAATAGAAAATATCTTATTCAGTAGAGGAGATATCCTTTTTCTGTGGTAAACTGTTTATGAATTGATTGTCGTTTAATATAAAATGTTTAGATACCATGCAAAAAAAAAAAGATTTTTTCTTTCCATTTTAAATAAATAGGACAAAATTAAGATATGTTAAATATACGCAATATAGCTTGCATTTGTTAACCGAACTTCGATCTTTTTTTCTTCCATTTTTCATATGTTAGACTATACTGTGGATTTTGTGATAAAACCAAATGATTCCAATAAATGACGCGTAAAAGAACTTTATTTGTAAAACACAAAGGAGTAACTCCACCTCAACTTTAAACTTTGGTCACACCTGTAGATCAACATTGTTAACATGGTTGGCGTTCCTATCCCATGTGTGCACAAACATGTCGCAACTTTCGTCATTGTGTGATCATGTGAAAGCTTTCAGAAAGGTAAGTTAAGGTAAGTAAAATATTGAACCCAGATAGACACTATGGAATGTAAGGCGTTGAAATGAATTTGATTTGTTTGCGTGGCTCTATGTAGATCTTTTGTAAATTAAACATCGTGGGTGGTTCAATTTCAATACGTTAAGTATGTATGGACAATGTATAAAATAGATATGTAGAATACGTCTGCTATCATGTAGTCGATTTATAATGGATTTTCTTTTTCAATCAAAATGTAAGTTATTAATGATTCTTTTCATGTGCAAAGGGGGAGAAAATGTTTTAGTAGTGACATTTAAGCTGTTAAGTCTGTGTTATGTGATCATATTATTGTCAAATATTAATTATTTTTAATGTCATTCAAGCGTTTGATTTTGTTAAAAAAATCTTTACTATATACAGCATTACCATTTTACAGAAGTAAACTGCGCAAATGTGACCAATCTCTGGACAATCCTTAGTAAAACTAAAAATCCCTGTTAAACTATAACACGATGGGACACGAGTCTCACCCTTTTCGTAAAACAGAGAAAGAAAACAGAAGTATATACTTATTTCTTTCCTTTTGCGCAATATTTTATAATTATTTTTTAAAGATTTCATCCTACGCTTTTTTTATTATTATTATATGCGCTGTTGTATTTCCTGGCTTTAGTCACATGAAAACTACTCACCGCTTAAAGTTACAAGGTGCACCAAAATATCTTGTGGGATTTTTCATTCAGTAAGTGCTTGCATGTGATCTTTGCTAACGAAAACCAAGTAGCCTTTGCACTTCATAGTCTAGATGCCCCAGCTTCAACTTTTCATCACTCTTCCTTTCAGGTAAATGTATGAAAGTGCCGATGTAATTATTTATGAGAAGATCTTCTTTTATTAATGCTCCTCTTTTGTTAAAGATTGAGGCACGTCCTTTCATGGTCCCTACAAAATTTCCTCTAACGTTCTGTTTCCGTATTTAAATTTCGTGACTGATATTTGATTCATATGAAACATACGATTATATTAAAATTACGGAAATTTTTGGCTCAATCTTTTTTTTCTTTATAAGTGTTATCTTCTTTTTTTAAATAACTCTATGACTTTTTATTGGTATCAAGAGTGTTATACGGTGTTTTCTATATATTTCAAGTATTCCTCGATATGTCTTGAAAATAATCATAACGTGCTTCAAATATACCAAAATAGTATTGCTTTCTTTTCGTAAACTAAATTAATGGGGTCTGAAACAAGTGAGTAGTCATGATAAGTATGGGATACACAAAGCATTTTCAAGTCACTGCAATGCTTATTTTTACTTTTTCCAGACTTTCATCAATAAAAGAAGTCAGTGTACTTAAATGATTATTTCTTTGTTCCCAAGAATTGCTTCTGAAATGTACCTAGGCGTGTCCTCCCACATTCATTTCGGGACGGTTTGCCCTATCCGTCAGTCGCTGCCTTGTTTTAAGCAGCAGAGACTGTCAGATGGGTTTTACTGTCTCGCTTCTATCAACATGAACAAATTAATAGGACTATTGCTTGTGTAGTTTTTATCCTTGATCAGTCACGTGTTTTACAAAATTCTTCACATCATCATATATGTATGAAATTAAGAGTCTTCAAAGGTGTAATGTTGATGTCTCTGATTTGTGTCGTATAGCCTCGTTTTAGCGGTCAGGGTGTTAATATTGTAGTGGGGAGGCATGACGTGATGTTTTATCAGCTATTTGTATTGTTATTGTTTGTTTTCAGACGCCAAAAATACCTAGTTAAGCTCACATATGTAAGGAGTACCCGAGATGTACATGTACAT